TATCAGAGCGGTGTTGCTCAATTTGCTAGCGAGATCCTAGGGATACTCAAGTATTGTTTTGCAGAATGGAAGGCGGTGCATCAATTACCAGATCACCATTGTTGAAAGGAGTAAGCAACTATGCTTATTGGAAGGCTAGGATGAAAGCCTTTATCAAATCCTTGGATAAAAAATGTTGGATGCTGTAGAAAATGCTTGGACTCCACCCACGATGATGGTCTAAAACGAAGATAAGAAAAAATCATTGAACCAGTGGACAACAGACGAGAAGAAAAAATCATCAGCGAACAATAGAGCTATGAATGCGATTCATAGTGCTCTTGGTGAAAGGTCAATTGGAGTTGATTCTCGCTACAGATATTGCAAAGGTTGCTTGGGATGCACTTATGACTCATTATGAAGGAACCATATCTATCAAAGTTTCAAAGTTGCAATTGCTCGTGACCAAGTATGAGAGTCTAAGGATGGAAGAAACTGAGTCAGTCTCTGAGTTCAGTGCAAGGATAAAGAACCTGACAAATAGTGCATGGAACTTGAGTGAACCATTTGAAGAAGAAAAACTGGTTCGCAAAGTTTTGAAATCCCTGCCTCCAAAGTTCAAGATGCAAGCCGTTGCTATCAAACAATCAGCAAATCTTAGAACTCTAACTTTAGATGCTTTAATGGGAAATTTGCAGACTTTTGAGTTAGAAATGGAAGAGGAAGACATGTACCTAAATAAGGACAACAAAGGAGTTGCATTCGGCACTACGGTACCTGCAGGAGTTGACTCAGATATAGAAATGAACGAGGTCATGGCCATATTGTCAAAAAAATTTAGCAAAATGCTGAAGAAAGCTAGGGGACAAGGAAAGATGAAAACAAGTAGCAAAGGAGGTGGAACTGGAAGTATTTAGGAGCAAAAAGGTCATAATCAAAAGTTTAAGCTCAAGGGCGTTCAATGCTATGAATGTGGAGGCTATGGACACGTTGCAGTGCACTATGGAAACAACAAAGATAAGAAATCAAACACACTTACCTGGAGTGATTATGAAGATTCTGATAATGATGAACAGGTAGAACAACAAACAAGCAATTTTGTTGCATTCCATGGCATCATGTGCCACCCTGATGATGTGGAAGAACGTGCAAACTATGAGAAGTTCTTCAAAAATGCAAAAGAAGTTGTGGAAGATAATGAAGTATGGAGAGACTCAAATCACATGCAACCTACCACACTAGAAACACATGAGACAATTGAAAAGATACACACTGACGATGAAGATGTTGACCTAACTGAAGCATATAGAAATATGTACAAGAACTGGTGTAAGGTAAATAAGCTAAATCTCATGTTACTTAAGAATGTTGAATCCTTTGAATTGGAAAACTCTGCTCTAAAATCCACAGTAGAAAAACTTGAGGTTGACTTGGATGCTAGAGTTTCAAATGAAAAATACATGCAAAAGGAATTGGAAAATTTCAAAAAAAAAAAAAAAAAGCGTGTGAAAATGCTGAACACAAGCACCAAGAGTCTAAATGAAATTCTTCAGTCAGGAGGGAACAATCATAACAAAGCAGGTCTATGCTTCACAGGCAGACAGGGAAATAAAAAACAAGCATGGGTGCTAGGAAAAATGCCAAGGAGAAAAACAGAAGTGAAAAGGCATGTGAACAATTTTTTTTAAAAAATCTGTTTCAGGTGTAACATGAAAGGACATGGTTGGAGGCGTTGCAGGTAAGACAAACCGCGACAAGTGTGGCGACTCAAGCAAACTTGCTTGACAACGAAATGATTTTTTCGACAAATTTTTTTTTTTTTGTTGCTTAATTTTTTTTCCAATTTTTTAAATTTTTTTGTTTTTCTTTTTAGTCTTCAATTTACCACTTCTTTTTAGAGTACAACTTTTATTTTATTTTTAAAAATGAGAGGACAAAACTGAGTCTTTATTTTATTCAAATTCCCACTAGCTTAGGATTTTATTTCTAACAAAATTATATTTTTGTTTGTTTTGTCTATTTTACAAAAAAAAAAAAAAAGAAGGGTTTTTAATGAAAATAGAACGTCATTATGTCATGGCTTACTAAGTGATGCAGGGTTTTAAAAAGGGACAGTCTGAGTTTTGAGAAGCCGAGTCATCACTTGCAAAGGTCGATCAACGCCTTCTCATAGGATCACATTTTGATAACCTAGATGAGCCAGAGTTTGTTGATCATGCGGGTCCCTCATCAAATGCAAATGCTATAGAATTGGCCATTGAGTTCATGGAAAATGAGCTATGTCTACTTTCTCATCAACGAAAGAAATTGGTTTATCGGAAGGTTCAGATCCGAAGTCTTCTGTTAAAACTGAAGGGGTTTGGTAATGTGGATAGTGATGGGCATAACCTTGAGTGTCATGATGCTACTTCTTCTGGAACCGCAAGTTCTTCATCGAATCAGTCAATGTTCTATTAAGGGTCAACTCACTAGTATTGTTTAGCTTTCAGTAGTAGTGTTGTTCTCTTTGCAAGTAAATCCTCTAGAGCATTTTATTGATAGTTTGTGGATAGTCTATCCTGTAGACACTACTCTAGTCCTTATTCAAATGCATGTTACCCATATTCCCACTCAGCATTCCACTTTTAGTAAGAGCCCTATGTTCTTGTTTCTCTACTCCTGCTACACATATTACACTTGAGATTTGTATGACGTTATATGATTGCTCCATCCTCTTCACACGCATTAACATTCTTACCAGTACATATTTGTCTTGATTACCTAGAAGATGGCTACCTAGTGTCTGCTACGGTTCAAAAGGACCCTAGAACAACCCGGAGTGAAATCTTTTTAGTGTAAAACGTTTCATTAACATTATTGACATACTTACCAAGAAGAGGGCTACCCGGTGTCTGCTACGATTCAAAAGAATTCAAGAACAGCTCGGAGTAAAAGTTTTCTAGTGTAAAGTGTCCCTTAAACTGGTTACATAGAAGAGGGCTACCCGGTACTTAATATGGATCCAAAGGACATGAGAAGAGTCCGGTGTGAAAGCTTTCCAGTGTTGTTACTTCCGTGCTTGATCATTATACTTATGGGGCTCTCATGTCGGTATACCTCTCATATCCTCCACTTGTGCAATTCTCAAATTTCCATATCTATATACGGCTTATCAAGTGCATGCTCTTAGTTGAATTTTCTTGCATTGTTCAATACATGCTGTTGTGGTTATGTTATCTTTGGCTAATGTTTATCAAATGGGGGAGACATAATACGAATTGAGGGGGAGAGTATGTATTAATTAAGGCGGAGAACTTGATGTATATTTGTGGAGAACTTGTTGTATATTTGTAAAGGGACATAGTTTGTGTGTTTGATAACATATGTCAAAAGGGGAGATTATTGGTACGGAAATATATTAAAGTAATACTCCTATAATTATACATATAATTATATTAGTATAATTTATTTTAGGATTTAGTTATTTTATTTTATTGTTGGCATATGTTGATTCAAGCTCGACCAGCTAGGAGCGGTGGCGTTCAGGCATTTATGATCCCCGAGGGTTCTCTCTCTTTGTTAACCAAAAAAAAAATTATTACTTTGTTAAAAATAATATATGGGAAAGGCTAGGGAGCTATATGTGTATGAAGAAACTGTTGAAGAAAATGGATTCCTAAAATCTCTCAACTAAGTTAGTGGTTGAGAATTAATCTCTCACTATTTCAGTATTTCCTACAAAAGCTACGTGAAAGGTGTGAAAGGTGGGTTAGGATAATGGGATTAGTTTTCCTATCTTTGTGGTGAGATGATGGGATTAGTTCCCTAATTTTGAGGTTGAGAATTAATCTCTTACTATTTCATACAAAAGCTACGTGAAAGGTGTATATTTTACCCTTCAAGTTTGACGGAAAAATAGACTTGGGATCATTTCGGATAAAAAAATATATAGTTCGAGATTAAATTAAAAAACTTTAGTTATCGAGGACCAAATTGATAAAATCTTAATAGTTATGAGACAAAATCGATAATTAACTCATTGAGAAAGTGGTGGGTACAAGCCCGGAAAAGTCCGTGGGTTTAATTGTTTCATGAGTAAATACTCAAAATGGTCCCTCGACTATAGCTAAATTCACAAATTGGTCCTTGACTTTTAATTTTAACCAACTAAGTCCTTAACTTTGCAATTTTAACACGATTTGGTCCTCCGTCTATTTGACTGTTTGTTGACTGTGATTTTTGAGGATATATATGTAATTTCATGGTCCATCGTCGATTTTTTAAGGTTCCGGTTGCATTTTCAGACCGCACTATTACATTTGAATCCACCGCCGAAAGCAATCTGCCAAATCCTGTCGCCTTTCTTCATCCTCCTTTTGGATTCAATGTAGTTGAGTTCGTACCAGAGTGAAGAAGACAACGTGTTTCTGAACCGGTGCAGCGTCATCCTGGAGGCCTCCATGTGCTCCGGTGAGAGCTGCGGGTATTTCTGGAGATCGTCGATGACGGCGCGGGCGCTGGCGTTAATGCAGAAGTGTTTGAAGGACCAAATCGTGTTAAAATTGCAAAGTTAAGGACTTAATTAGTTAAAATTGAAAGTTGAGGACCAATTTATGAATTTAGCTATAGTTGAGGGACCATTTTGAGTATTTACTCTTGTTTAATTTATTTAACTTTGCACATGGACAACCAATACATATGGCACATAAAAAATTCACCCATTTAATTATATTACAACTAAGCTAATGAAAAATAAAAAGGATTTGCACTTGCAGACATCACATATGGCACATAATAAACAAATTTTCGCTAGCTGTAAGATTTCACTAATCTTTACAAGTTGCAATTCTGCTAAACTCTAATCTTTACCAAGTTGCAATTCTGCTAACCAACTCATCTCGTGCAACAAACACCTTCATTCTCCAATCTCTCCAAAAAAAATAATAATCAGATTTCTCCAATCTCCAATCTCTCACGTCAATGGTCTTTCGCATTACCCAATTCCACTCATCTTGCTTCTGCTAATCTTCACACCTACACCAACAGAGAGAGAGAAAACAATGGCTTGTGTAGCTGTAAATTCTCTTATCAGAATATTAGAGCTCGAGTTCTTTCATCCTGAGCCTCGTCCAATCCTACAAGAAATGGAACTCATCCCTTTTAACAAAGACCTCATCCAATCTCTCCATGCAAAGCTTGGTTTTCTGATACAACTGTTCGATGAGTTCAGAATGGATGGTGTTGAAGCAATTAAAGACTTGGAAACAAAGCTCAGAGATGTAGCTTTCAGAGTAGAAGATGAAATTGAACTCCATGTGGTAGATCTCTATGAAGCTGATCCCTATCTCTATTTGGTAGATCTCTTTAAAGAAGATGACGAGGAAATGGGACAAGGGTACACTTATGAAGCCAAAAAAACCCAGTATTCTCATAGACTTAGTCATGTATTGCAACAAGCAATAGAAGACATTGATGCCATTAAAGAAGAGCTGGAGAAAGTCATGATGGAGTACAAGCATGACATAGCTGCGCAAGGAAGGAAGACTACTCTTGCTGATGATGTTATTCCAAAATCTGATGATGAACTTGTCAAGATGGACGGTTCCGGTTCCTCCAATCATGCTTCACACACTGAGGACATAATGGTCGGGAAGAACAATGAGTTCGAGATTATAAGGAAGATGCTAATACAACATTCATCTAAACAACGAGAAGTTGTCTCAATTCAAGGTATGGGAGGAATCGGCAAGACAACGTTAACAAGACGAGTTTATGAAGATCCATCAATTGTCTCCCACTTTGACAAGCAAATATGGGTTGTTGTATCACAACATCACAATAAGAGACAAATGATGGCTGGGGATCACCATCTCGCAGGTTTACCATCTCGTGACAATACCAACGACTATGGCTGGGGATATTTGAGCGATGTTAAAGCTTCCGCTGTAACGAGGCAAGTTACTCGTTTACTACAGTTTGTGTTAGTCTTAATATTATTATCTAACATTTGGTATCAGAGCCCAATCAATTCCTGCCTGGTTGATTAATTAGTGCCAAATATATATTTTGAAAAATATATTTGTTCTTTTGTTTCCTGGAAAACAATTTTAGGAAATTCAATGTTTGTCTAGCATATGACAGTGTATATTTTTTGGGAAATATGTACTGCTGGGCTGTTTTTCGTTTTCTTTTGGTTTCTTTTCAGCAAAGCCTTCTGCGTGGAATTTGTCGCCGATGATTTTGATTCCGGTCGTTGTTGACGAGGGCGGCAACTATGAGCATTCATGGACAACGACGAAGGGAGCATCGCTCTAGCGACGCGAAGAACGCGGTGTGACGTTGTTGAGGATGCGACTTGGAGTCGCCCATGGTGGACAACGGCGGCGTCGGTTTTCGCTGTTCCTCAAGCTTTGAGCTGCGATGACGAGAGTCCGCGGAGGTTGGCTGAATTCCCGGCTGCCACTGCTGCTCCATTCGCGGCGGCGGGCGGCGACCCTCAGCGAACGAGGACTGCGTTGGCGGAGGTCTCATCGCATGAAGAAGACTGGAGCGGTAGGCTGCGATGTGGCTGGATTTCCGGCCATGGCGGCGGTTGTTAGCGCTGTGCTGGGTTTTCCGGCGAACCGTTGCTGCTTCCTCTCCTCCTTCGCGTTCTCCTCTCCGTAAGGCCGTCGGCGATGGTGGCTCCGCGATGAAGACGGCTGCTGTTGCTCCTCATCTGAAGATGGCGGACGGCTGGATAATGGCCGATGCTTCATCCCCTTCGCTGGTTTTCCGGCATTTATTTGGAAGAGGAATGAGATGACTGGTACGCAACGTTTCTTTTTTTTTTTTTTTTTCTGCAATTTACCATTATTTATTTTTACCATATAAATATTGCCTCATTGAATTGAATAATATATATATATATATATATATATATATATATATATTAATTTTGGTAAATGGTGTTTATATTTGGTTTAAAGTTGACATCTTTATATTACCTTAATTAATTATATATTATTTTATTGGCAAGTGGTAAATTACATGGTAATTGCTTAATTTTGAAATAATAATGCCTTTTAGTTATATTTTTTTAAATTTTGGCATTAAAAATTTCAAATTGAGATTAATTATGCATTATTTGTGATTGAATTATTACCATTATAGTAATTCTTGTCACAATTAAATTATTATTCATTTTTGAGCAAATATTAATTTCTGATTTGCTATTTGAATTTTAATTTAATATTGAGAGTTGTATTAATGTCTTTTAGTTTTCTCTCAATTTTGGCATTATATTCACAATTAAATTATTATTCAATTTTGAGCAAATATTAAGTATTAAATTTGCTACTTGAATTTTAATTTAATATTGATGTGCATATTAAAATTGCTTGAATTATTGCAATTTATTTAGTATTTATGAGTTAACAATATATTAATTTGCAAAATTCAAACTTGCTTTGTATATTTTTTAAATTATTTTATTATAATTGTACATTTAGAAAAGCATTTATTAAAGTTGGATATAGCATATTATTAACTCATAGATTTTATATTAAATATCATTCAATTTTGGATCCTTAGGCTAATTTTGGACAATATAGCCTATTAAGTTAGTTTGTTGGTTTCTCATTTAATTTTGAGCATATTTTAGTCCTAATTTTCACTTGGGACTTTAAAACCTATTTTTTTTTATTACAAAGGAAGGGGGATACCCATACAATCTATGCCTACACTGAGGCTCGAAACCTAGACCTCCCACATAGGGGAGCAATCCGATACCAGTGGACCACAAGTCACCGGTCTTTAAAACCTATTTTGAACAGGCTATTTAGGACCTATCTTAGTCAGTATGGATCCTACTATTATTTGATTGATATTTTAATAATAATTGTAGCACATTTTTTTTGATTATAACATGTTTATTTAGTTTCAATTATTACTAACTACCGTATTTTGTTAACGGTATTTATCGTTGGTGATAATATAATGTTTGGATCTATTTCCATATTAGAACATTTATCATTCATGTTATAATTAACTTGGGACATTAAGGTTTATGGGCCTGACTTAAGTAATTTTGTGCTATAATTATTGTCATTGTCTGATTTTGAGTCATTAAGTATCTAAGGATTACAATTACCATTTGAAGTCATTAAGACTTATAATTATTGTTTTGGCCATTAAGAATTATTTACTATTATTTAAGTTAATTATGTTTTTAATCTATTAATAGTTTTCGGGGCCTTAACAATAACATTCTATTTTCTTAATGGTAAGCAATGTACATAGTTATGTTGCCTTTACATTATTGGTAATTTGGTTATAACTTAATTTTAGTCTCCGACTCATTACAGTCTTGATTAATTATTATGTGGTAAATTGAAATTAATATTTAGCATCCCTTAATTACAGTTTTACATTTATTGCAATTATTATTAATTAATGTTATTAAGTTTAGGGGCTAATCTCATTTATTATCTTTCATAATAATTATTAATTCATGGTAATCTACTATATTTGGTACATTGGTAAGATTACCCATGTCACTTCATTTTCTTACCAATAAACTGTTGCGTACCATTGGGCGATTCAATTAAACACTCCGTGAAGATGGGAGATTTTGGAGATTTTTCTTTGCTATCGCTGTTAGTGCTATTGATAGATGTAGTTTGCATCATTAAGGTACGCAAATCATTAATTACAGTTTATTATTATTGGTAACTACTATTATAGCTGTTTACCATTTTGAACTAGTCACATTTTATCCTTAAGAATATGGAAACATTAAGATATGTATTACCATGTTTGTCATTATTAAAATGTTCATAGTGATTATAATGCTCCTTATTACTATTAATATTTTAATTAATGATAACATTATTTTTATGGTATTAAGTCATGAATTGTTTCCAAATTGATTTATGTGACATTTATTTTCGGACTTAAGTTTTATTACATTTTAAAGTTATATCCAAAAATGTTTTAAAGTTTAACAGTTTTAACTATTGTTTTTTCATATTTAGTCTCCAAATTAACATAATACTATTATTATGGCTATTTATTGCCTTTTTGGTTTATTTGCGATTTTTTGCCATTAATAATATTATTAATTGAGTTTTGGAGAGTGATTTTTTAATCAATTCAGATTTTGGAAAAACATGTTTTCTTGGCAATTTATTTAGTATTTGAATTATGATTTTAGATGGCATTGCCCACATTTAGTTAAGTATGAATAATTGAATACACATTTAGTGTTTTTCATACTCTTTAAATTGTTTTATGCTTTTAATCACATTAAGTGCATAATATTAAGTTTAATTATGCAGTTGAGATTTGTGAGATTTTATTTACGAATAAAACATATACTATGGCTTGATATTTGTGAATTTAGCCTGTTTCTCACAAAGTTGATTTTATGCAATTAAAACTTTTCCACGTGGGCTTATAGTTTTTAACATTTCAAAGTATACATCTATTATATTATTATTCAAATTTTGGATTTCTTTTGGTTAGAAATCATACTAGTTTTGAATATTAAGGTTATTGCTCATATTTAAAATTGTTTTGGTTTATGCAATTTATTTAGAATATATGAGTTTAATGTTTGATTTTATGCATACTTGTCCACTGCATAATATTCTGTTTTTTTTAAATTATGCAATTTTATTATGCCTTTAGAAATGCATACTTTAGGATTGAATTATATTAGTTCCTTATTAAGTTGGACCTATGCATAAAACTTTAGTTGCGGTAGTGCCTGAATTTATGTACGTTTAGTCTGTCAATTTAGTTCATCAATTTAAAGCCTTATCCATAGGTGAATCTACAATCTTATAGATCTCCCAAACGCTTTTACTTCAAACATGAGAACACATGACTTAGGGAAGTTTCTTGGGGAGGAATACTAGTTCTATGGCCCTGGCTTAAAAGCCTTGTTGCTACTAGTCCCCTTGCGACGCTACTCTGTTTAAGGAGTTGGTATTTAACCGAGCTTCGTCTCGACCAACTTTCCTGGGAGTATACCTAATAATTGTCTATCATGTGTTGGTTTAATTTGTTTGTTAGGCTTTAAATTCCCCTGCCAAGTGATTACAATTTCTAGATTAATTAAAGAGTAGCCACATCATCTTTAATTTACTAAAAATTGTCTAAAGTTCAAATCACATAAAGATGGCAATGATAAATGCCTAGTGATCCTATAATTTTAATTAGTTAGGGAATAGCCACAGCATCCTTAACCAGTTAAAATTATATATTGAGTTGTTGGGTCACATAAAATTTGATGAATGTCTAGTGATCTTATAATTCTAATTAGTTGGGGAGTAGCCACAGCATCCTTAATCAGTTAAAATTATATATTGAGTTGTTAGGGTCACATAAAGTTTTAGACATATCAATTGTGATTAATTGTATGTAATATGATGGAATTTAGCCCACAGGCAATTTCGTTATATTTGTATGATTAATTAGGATGAAATACTGAACTATGATCATAATTTAGCCCACAAGCAATTATGTATCGGGATGTAGTTTAGTAGGTTTATCAGTGATGATAGGAATAAAGATTCACCTCTATCATGAAGCTTAATTTTATGATGTAAACTTTAGGTCATATATCTTAATTTGCCCACAGGGATTAAGATAAGGAACATGATCTCTTAAGTGTTTTTTGGTCATAATGGTTGTAATGAATCTAATTGAATTAAAACTTCAGCCCACAGGCAAGTTTTATGTCACTTGATTCTTCAACCCATTTGATAATTGTATGGTTGTAATGAATCTAATTGAATTAAAACTTTAGTCCACAAGCAAGTTTTATGTCACTTGATTCTTCAACTCATTTGCTAATTGTTTCATCATAAAATTTCAGTTGGATCTTATTGAGTAAAACTTTAGCCCACAGGCAAGTTTTATGTCACTAGATTTTTCTGGCCATTTAGTAATTGAGATAAAATACTATCATAAGTGTTTAATTGAATTTAATAGAATTAAAACTTTAGCTCACAGGAAGTTTTATGTCAAATAAATTCATCAACCCATTAGATAATAACTTTATCCCAATTTCTTAGAATTTATAAATTTAGTTCAATTATAATTCTAAGTTTCATGGTTTGCATTGGCAAAACATGTATTTAGTCACTTCCTTATTTTTTCACGAAGCTTACTTGGTTATTTGGACTAACTATAGTAAGTTACGTGGTATGATATACCTCTTTTGGATTCCAATAATAAAATATATCTTCTGAGCCGAATTCCAACTTGGTTTTGGAAGGCGTATTTTATTATTTTAGTATGTCCAACTATGGTGGAGAATCATGTCCTCATTAATTATTCATTTAGTTGGAGTATAATTGGAACCAAATATTGATTATTTAGTATGCCCAACTAATGGTGGAGAATTATATCTTCATTATTTAGTTGGTCAAATCAATTATGAGTGTTATATCATTAATTTGGCTAAAGAATATCTTAATCAGTGGGAGTGATCATTTAGGAAAGATCATTAAGATACTCCACTAAAGTTGATGGATTTAGTTGTTTTCATACATTCCAAATTGGATTGTGCGTCTAGCAATAAGTCCAAAAGTTTCCACAAGTATTAATTTAGTCTTTTGTTCTTATAATTCATAAGTTCATTTCATTGAACGTTTGGTTCTACAACATATTTATGAAAATGTTGTAACAATATTAATGAATTTATTAGAACGAAAACATTTAACTTGTGGTACACTGCCAATTAATAAATTCTTTAGCAATTAACAGAGTCTTTAGTTTCTTCAAAATTGATCCTGGGCCATTTTTGGTTTGTAAGGCTCAAAACAATTTTATAAGACATAATAAGACTCGTAATGTTCAATTAATTTTGAGGTGAACCTTGAGATTATTTGGGAAGTTGGTGTATGTTTAAGATTCCAAATTATTGACTTAGACCTTATGGTTTATGTTATTGGAATGTTTCTGTGACTTGACTATCTTTTGGCTATCTTAATGAGTGGGAGTGACAGACGTGTCAACTCCAAGCTCTTAGCCGTTAGAGGTAGTGTTTATGTTAACTTATAAACAAGTCATAGAATATAGTTAGCATTATGCTAACATTAAGAGATCTCTACTTAAGGCATGCTTCTAAGATTTTGGAGATCATACAGTGAATTTGGATGGTTTCTTTCTTCAGTTGTGCACATAATATATTTTGAGAAACATCCATTAAGGGACTAAGAATAAACGTAGGGTTTGTTCATAAAGAACCTAAGTTAGAGAATTTAAATGCATGTGATCATAGTAGATATTACTCACTTGATTAGTAGATGACGTATTACTATGGTTCTTGTATTTTGTTCTTTAATGAAGGTTGTGCCAGTACTTGCTCCAAGTGGGAGAATGTAAGTATTTTCCCTAAATACAATATATTATAATATATTGTATTATTGGGTGGCTGTGGTGCAAGTAGGAGATTGAGTCAATTAGTGACTTAATCTGTTATGCAACTCAGGATATTCAGTTAAGCTTTAACTGAATATCTGCCTATGTTGATGGCATGTAGGCTTCTAAGCAAAATAGTCCTCCCACAGCTACAGCTCCCGGGTTCAGGACACGTACCATCACGTATTCGGGAGAGAAGTGGTAGACAAAACGACACTAACCTTTATTCTGCAGGTTTACCATCTCGTGGCAATACCAACGACTATGGCTGGGGATATTTGAGCGATCCTAAAGCTTCCGCTGTAACGAGGCAAGTTACTCGTTTACTACAGTTTGTGTTAGTCTTAATATTATTATCTAACAACAAATGCTCTTAGATCTTCTTGGTTCTAAAGACAATGTAAACAACAATAGTGATGAGGACCTAGCATTACGGCTCTACCAAAGTTTGAAGGGTCAAAGGTACTTGGTAGTGATGGATGATGTATGGAGCAGAGAGTCATGGAATGATGTTAGCTGTTGCTTTCCAGATGATATAAATGGGAGTCGAGTATTGTTGACTACTCGCGTTGCAGAGGTAGCTATTTGTATTAGCTCTAACAATTACTTTTCCCATCAAATGCAGTTCTTAGATCAAAGTGAAAGCTGGGATTTATTTCGTAAAAAAGCCTGCAAATCTCATTGTGTTGAATTTGAGACAATTGGGATACCAATTGTTGAGAAATGTAAAGGACTGCCATTAGCAATTGTTGCGGTAGCAGGTTTATTTTCAAAACTCAACACACTAAATGAGTGGAAAAATACTGCTAATGCTCTAATGAGTTCTTCAACATCAACTCTTGACGATGAAGAATGTTGGAGAATCCTCTCATTGAGTTATAGTCACTTGCCCCATAATTTGAAAGCTTGTTTTTTATATTTAGGAGTTTTTCCGGAAGATTATAAGATTAATGCTAACAACCTTGCAAGGTTATGGGTTGCGGAAGGATTTCTAAAGGCATTCGAGAATGAGAGTTTTGAAGCGGCGGCTAAAAGGTACATAAATGAACTTATGGATAGAAACTTAATTCTTGTAAGCAAAAGAAGTAGTTGTGGAAGAAAAATTAAGGAGTTTAGAGTACATGGTTTATTGCATGGCTTTTGTGTAAGAGAAGCTCAGAAGCAGAGTCTTTTGCATGTTGCGGATGAAAGTGGTTCCAATTTCCCTGAGAAAGGTATTCGTTGGATAAGAATCCAAAAGGTGCCATTTGAAGATTTTGACATCTCTGCGTTACATTCTCTATCAAAACACTGCCGGTCCATCTTTTATTTCCCGAAGAGGCCCAAAGATTCAATAATTTTGAAAATTTTCAGCCTATTGAGGGTACTCTTTGTTACTGATTTCCATTCGCCAAGTCCGACTGTTCATATCCATTTGAGATACATACGAATAATTTACGGGCAATCTCGTCCTTATGAGTCATTATTCTCCAGTGCTTGGAATCTTCAAACATATAGTGTGGATGGCCCTCTATAGGATTGAAGCATTTGAAGTACATTCCACAACTACAGTATATTAGCAGTGATGAAAAATTTGTGGATCTTTTCCCAAATCTGTTCATCAAAACTTGCAAGTCATTTCTTGGTGATGGCGAGTTTGATGAAGATGAGGAGTAGATGATGCAAAGCTATAGCAAAGAAAGACTCTAATGAATTGCAATACTGATGATGGGTCCACATGGAGCCAAAATCCAATAAAAGAAGGGTGTGGGAAGAGCAGATGGTTGTTAGTTGCGGCTGTTTTTGGTGTTTGAAATGGTTTCTGGTTCACAGGTACGTTCTTCAGCTGCAAATTAAATTTGAATAGGGTATAGATTACTATATTACTGTCGGTCTTGTAGGCAAATTATACCGTGGACCGCGGCCCACAAAACATTGTAGATCATGGTCTAAAACGGTGCCGTTTCTTTTAATGAAAAGAAAAAAGAAACAACACTTGTCCGCGCGCCATTTCGCATAAAAGTAGCTCTGTTTGTATAACATACTCAGTTTCATTTTGATATAACTACAGTTTCATTCGACATTATAGACTCAAATATGTGGAACTGTTATTCACTTTCATTGTATATACACTATAGTTTCATTACAACACAACTACAGTATCATTTCGATATAACTACAATTTTATTGGAAATATACACTCAAATATGTGAAACTGTTGTTCAGTTTCTGTTTATATACAGTGCAGTTTCATTTCAACACAACTATAATTTCATTTCAATTCAATTACAGTTTAATTTGATAATACAAAAATAATATGTGAGACAGTTTCATTTTAAATACACTTTAGTTTCATTTTGTAATTAACACATCAAAAATATAAGCTCCGTTACGATTTAACGATAGTCATTTCTTTACTTAAAGAAACGGCGCCATTTTTGAACCATAGTTCACAAAACTTTGTGGACCATGGTCCACGATATAACGATCGCTGTCTTGTATTGCAAGCCGGGCTGCTTCTAGGAATGAACAATATAATCTGCTGGATTTAAGGCTTGCTACTTGCTAGATGGATTTAAGAATAGTAAATAAATTTAATTTCTCATTCACATTTCAGTTATACTAATCAATAAATAAATTGTTTGAAAAAAAATTATTACTTCTAAATCAAAATGTAATACTAATTATGGATAAATTATTTAATTATTATTTATGAAAAAAAAATGTAATACTTATGATGAAAAATATAATACTTTTAAATGAAATATATATATATATATATATATATATATATATATATATATAATAAAAAAAATAATAATAATATAATAATAACAATTATAATAAAAATAATAATAATAGAAACGCCTAGAAAGGTTTTCCCCCCAAAACTTAGTAATATCAATTATTTGGATAAATTCATTTAAAATTAAAATTAATTTACATTTTCTTATTATATGATAATTTTATGTTAATTTCAACTTGAGTTTATTTTTCTCTTTTTCTTTTTGTAAAAATAAAACAAATGTATAGAAAATATATCATTAAAAAACTCTAATTAAGATCTTTTGAATGACATCCGTATTGATATATTTTTATTTTTTATTTTTAAATAAATCTATAGGTACATAAAGTCATTACTTTAGTGTAATATTTATATACATTAAGCTTTGTTTTTATTAACATATAGCAATAACATTATGAACATACTATAAAATAAATGGAAATATATATAATATTATAATGTACATTTATTATAATACATTTGGTCTCGCCATCTAATTTTTCAGTCAACTATTGTTGGAAGTGCTCCTTCCGGATTAAGTAAATGCATGCAGTGGTCATTCTAGAAGAAGCAAATGCAGCACTTCCGACAACAATGAATAGTCAAGGACCAAGTGCTCATTCCATAAGGGTCATTCTAGAAGAAGCAATTCTAGAGGAAATTGGACGACAAGATCAAATGTGATACAAATTACATAGTCATGCACCTAATTAGAAAATTTTAATAGTCAAGAATAAAGTGTAATTTATGTATAATAGTCAAGGGACCAAAAGTGAAAAATTTTCTAAATATTATGAACATAGTATGAGATGAATGTTATTAAACATGATGCGTCTATAGTAATAATATTTATATACATTAAAGTTTGTTTTTATGAACATTATAAACCTACTATAGAGTGAATGTAAATAAATATGATGTATATTTAGTTTAGTGTTTATGAACATTAATGTTTATGGACATATAGAACAAATATTATGCGTATAGCACACAATGAATATTACTAAACATGATGCGTTCATAATATATTGTCTATGTATATTAAGCATTATTTTTATGAATATTATGAACCTACTATAGATGAATGAAAATGCATATAATGTATATTTAGTTTTGTGTTTATGGACACTAAGGTTTGATTTATGGACATATAGAACAAATATTATGAACATGTTATTAAATATGATGTACTAATTGACATTTGACACCATGGAAGGTGGTCTTGGTCCACCATGGAAGCAACACGCATGGCCTGCATATGCTCTGACAACTAACCTATCTCACTTCTTGTTAACATTTATCTATTTCTTTATACTAATACTAAAACTTGTACTATATATACATACTAGTAATTCACCCGCGCGATGCACGGGAAAAAATTATGTTATTATAAATATAAATAAAAAATAAAAAAATAAAAATATTTTAAATTGTTTAATATAATAATATTTTTGAGCTTCCATTGGTCAAGTATTTATTATTTTTATAGAACACAAAATTACAATTAAAATTAAAATTAAAATTAAAATTTTGTATGGTTAATATAATCTCTAATTATGTACATATTCAAATAAACTTATAAGAGAATTTACATAATTCCATTGATTTATTCTTAATTGTATTTCATCTATATTATATTTTTCACAATACGAATAATAACTAAGATAATTATATTTAGAAAGCAAATTTTAAATTTTGTAGGAGTAAATTTAAACTCTAATTAAACACTTTTTTTTTTATATGATTATATAATATAAAAATAGCTATTTTATTTTTCAAATGTTGTTTTTTTTTTTTTTTTTTTTTTTTTTTTTTTTTTTTTTTTTTTTTTTTTTAGTAAAGGATGTTGTGGATGGCTATTTTATAATAATAATTTAATAAGGATAGAGATAATAATTGTAACATTAATTACTTTCCAAACCATATAGCTTTATTATAGTTAAGATATACATACAACTATTATATATGGGGTGGGGGGCAGCTACCCCCTTGCCCCCCTTTGGCTCCGTCCATGATTGATATACTTTGAAGTACTTATTTAAAAATAATTATTGGCATTATCACATTTGCGTAAAAAAACTAGTATATATATATATATATATATATATATATATATATATATATATATATATATATATATATATATATATGTGTGTGTGTGCGTGTGTGTGTGTGTGTGTTAATTTATTCCAAGTGATTGTCATATTTCATTCTAAAATTATTATTTAAAAAATAAGACGCTTCATTAAAAAGGCTTAAATAATTTATTAATGTTAATTAGCTATCATTGAAAAATTCTACTTGTATCATCAACTAACAAAAAACTTCAGAAGGTAGGTCTGTGTGGGTGCAGTGTATATGTGCATTATATTGAGAATATATTTGTGTTGGGAAGAAAGCTCGCAAGAATATATAATTAGTACAATAAAAATAAATAAACAGTATCAAGAAGAACATCAATATTTTTAATGTGGAAAAACCTCATCAAGGCAAGGATCGGAGTAAAAAACCACGGGCACAAACAAGTAAAACTTTCACTTTATAGATAATGGGTACAACCGAGGAGACTTCTCTAATTCAATGATTAGATAAGAGGCAACACAATAACAAGAGAAAATAACATACCCCGAGGGACAAGAATTTCTACGAAATCCACCAACCTCTTCTCGACTAATTTTCTCATAGTTATGTATCTCACACAATTTTATCTCCTCTCTTTTTTTTTTTTTTTTTTTTTTTTTCATTAAGGGGGTTTGGAATTTGTATGTTCTTCATTTTGTATACAAAATAATTATTATAAAGGGGTGTACGTGTAATGATATTGTTAGTTCATTTTGAATGAACATTAGACGGTATGGCTATTATTTGGTAGGTATGCTATGAAACGTATTTTTTATAGACACTGGTGTGTGCGTGTATGTTGGTAGGTTTGTGCAACGTACCCGATTAAAGCTCACAAACAATAAAATGCATACGCCAACATTCAATTGCGCACAAACCAGTGTCGATCAACACATCCCCGATTAAAAATATTCGCATACCGCGAGTTATAAAAAGCAAAACATTGGATCCCTGAGATAAAATGAATTTGGAAAACAGATTAAAACTCATGGTCACTGTAAGCACCAAAGATCCCTAATCAAACTCAAAAACATAAACAATACTATACCATCGACACACCAAAAACACGTGTGACGGCACAATGCACAAGCTGATGGTATTCTAAGCACAAACCATAAAACTAGTAACATGCACACGCCAATACAGAACTGTGCACCCAGTATTTGGTCCTATAAGGGGGTTTGGAATTGGTTTGTCCTTCATTTTGTATCCAAAATTATTATTAGGTGTGTGCGTGGAATGATATTGTTAGTTCATTAAGATTGAATTAGACCCGTATGGGTATTTATTTGGTTGATTTGCTATGCCACGGGTTTTTTTTATACATGTTGGTGTGCGCGTGTATGTGTGAAGGTGTGTGCGTATATGTGGGAACGTGTTTTTGAAGGGTTCCACGTGTGTGCGGTCGTGGGTAATAGTCTGTGCAAGCAGCTCTATAGTTTTGCAGCCATGTGCGTGTAATTGGTGTGTGTGTGTGATTGCATAAGAATGGGCGTATGCTTGGAGAAGCATGTGCGTCTGCAGATATGAACATTAACATGGAATAGAATAACACAAGCAAATTGTTAAAAAATGAATACGACGAGAGGGGAAATTGTATTACGCAGAGTTGATTAAAAAAACGGTTCAAATTAACTAAAATAAACGAAATACGTTAAAAGTCATCGTAATAAAAATGAAGAAACAAACATAAAGTATTTTAAGCAGCATATAAGGTGTCAACGAGCACTGCCCCCTGAACCTACAACACAACTGATATTCGATACCTGATGTGTGTTAGCCTGAAACAGTAGAATTTCGTGCGAAAAGCGCACCTGTAGGGCAAGCATGGCCCGTAGTGCATCACCCCTACAAAGCCCGTAGTCCCATGAAGCGTA